ACCTAAGCATTCCTTCTAAACCTTGATGCTATGTATTTTGAGGGGATTTGTGTTATAATACTTGTCTTGACACTTATATATATATAAATCTTGTTTATTCAATGATTTGTGTGGTTTAATACTTTCAACTGGCATTTCATTCTATCAATATGTCTATGTATGATAGAATAGATGTTCATGTGTTTATCTTTAGTTTTTGTATTGTTGATGCATGTCTATGTGTATTGATGCTATAGCTTTAAAGATTGTCAAGGTATAGTGCTTAATAGAATGCTCTTGTGGTTTATTTGATGGTTCATACTCATTTCTTGATGGATTGTGCCTCTCCCTTAGTTTAATTAGTTTAATTTTCATGTCATTAGCTTAGTTGTAGTGTAGTTACCTTAGTTTCTTAGATGAGAGGACAATCCATGCTTGTTATTTGATGTTTCATGCTTATGAATGCAAGTAGTATATGTTTCTAACCATGTGATGTGTTTGGATTGTGAGCTTAAAAGAAGGATTAATGGCTTAGTTTGATATATTGTGCTGTTCATTAGGTTGTTTAGACAATATATACTTAATTGGTCATCCATGCTTGTTGAAACAACCAATCACACACACACCAATATTGCAACACATGTTTCCCCTCATTAATTATACATTGAGTGTTTAGAAAGATGATGTTTAGTGGTGACTTCTAAGTCCCAAGATCTCTCTCTCTCTTGTTTTCTCTATCCTTTATTTGTTTGTTTACATTAAGCTTGTTAGTTTAAGTTTAGTTTAATCAACCAAACAAACCACATTTTGATCACTCGACCTACTAACCCTTATTTCTTTCCATAACAATACGACCCCCTAATCCCTTGGGACGATCCCTTCTCACTCATACTACATAGTATAGGTGTTAAGCGGTTTATAAATTTAAAGTATGGTGCCCACTTGACACTAGTTCCACACTCAAAGTGCTTGTGTATCATTTTGTGCACACGCTCGGGAAGCCACCATAGTTTTTTGCGTTGTTGCCGGAGATTTGAAGGCAACGCCATATTTTGGAAACAATTAGGAATTAGTACTCTTTTGATCGTGTCTTTACTTTATTTTTATTTTCATTTTGGATACTTATTGTGGTTATTCTTAATTGACTATGTACATTGAAATAAGGAAAGTGAGCAAAGGAATTCGAAGCAAGGAGCTAAGCAAAGCATAAGAAAAGGCTAAAAATCTAAAAATTTGCAAAGCTAAGCCAAAAATTGAAAAAATACTTTGAAGTTGCTTATGGACCCTTTGTGAGCTCTTTCTAACTCAATCACTATTTTAATTATCGGCCCGCGTGGAGGCATTACTTTTAAATTCTTAGATAAATCGTGAGCCCGCGTGGAGGCAATTTATTTTTCTTGCATATTGTTGAAAGCATGGGAGTATAGGATCATTGTATGTGGAGGAAGTTTGTTGATTATTGATTTGTTGCGGAGGTGAAGTGATTGCTACTTGCTTTGTTACTTGTTTTTGTTTTGTTTGTGCATATATGGTCGAAGGTCATTAAATCCAACTCTTGTCCCACTTGATTTTCATCTTGAATCCGTTATTCGTAATCCTAGGGGAAGAGGTAGTTCTAGTCATTACATTTAATCAAAATGAGGACCATGTGGAGGACCTTGGTCACATAGACCAACAAGGTATCCTCCACCCTAATGTACATCATGACAACATCCAAGTTCCATTAGGCATGCCGAGACCTTTCATTCATCTACGACAATAAGGCCAAGTTTCATTGGGAATGCCTAGGCCAATGTTTGCTCCACAACCGCCCATAATTCAAGGTAATCAAGGTGTTCGTGTAGCACCACTGGTTGTAAATCCCCCTCTTGCTTTGCATGATCACTATGTACCGAATGAATATAATGCACCCACATGTATTCAATTACCACCATTTAGAGCACATCTGATGAGCACTGAATTGTGCGCATTTTAACCCGTTAAGCTTGGATATTCTAGAACCTTTATCTATCTTACTTTGCCATTTTAGATTAATTTCGTATTATTTCCATTTTCAGGCACTTATCCCGAAAATAAGCTAACTCAGCCAAATAAGAGCTTAAATGCAGCAATTCTGGGATTAATCAAAGAAAGGAGCAAAGTGGAGAAAGAAAGAAGCAAAAAGAAGCCAAATGTGGGAAACAGCAAAGTTCGATCGATCCAACTTCAGAGTTCGATCGATCCAACATTCATCGATCTCAGCATTTCAAGATGGATCAAAACTATGATGTTCACATTCAGAAATCCAAAAGTTCGATCGATCCAACATCATTCTTCGATCGATCGAACCCCCTTATCCTTATCCAAATGATTGATCTTATCCACAGTTGTACCACCTACTAACCATTTTTGTCCTTTTCCCAAAATATCTCCAAAAATATCTCGGATTTGTCTTTTCCCAAAAAGCTCAGCCAGTTGGATCGATTCAGCCTTAGTTCGATAGATCTCAGCCAAGTTCGATCCATCCAAGTCCAAGGTTCGATCGATCGAACTTTCTCCGGTGCGAAAAAGTTAAAAAGCCAGCTCATTCATTCCGTCCTCTATCCAATCATTGGGGAATATGCCTTGCACGACCCCAGCTCATTTGGTGTGTCACTTGACCTACCTATAAAAGGAATATGATGCACTTTTTGAAAAAAAAAAGATTGGCAATTTGGTAAAGGCAACTTTAGAGGCTATTCTTAGTGTAGAAGAAAAGAAGAAGGAGGCTAGAGACACCATTAGAGGCCTTTCATCTTCCAAGGAGCAGATTTCATCCATGGAGCTTGCCCTTGAGGATTGAAGGAGCATCACCATGAGTGGCTAAACATCCTCTTGGGGCTAAAGTTAGCCCCAAGCATGTTTTCTTTACTTTAATCTTGTGTATTATTGAGGGATTAGTGTTGTAATACATTTTTTAACACTTTGATTTATATAGATCTTGTTCATTCAATGATTTATATGGTTTAATGCTTTCAATTGATCATTTCATTCTATCCATATGTTTATGTATACTAGAATAGATGTTCATGTGCTTATCTCTATTTCTTGTGTTATTGATGCATGTCTATGTGTATTAATGCTATGGATCTAGAGATTGTCAAAAAATAGTGCTTAATGGAAAGTTCTTATTATTTTCTTGATGGTTCATACTTATTCCTTGATGGACTATGCCTCTCTCTTAGTTTATTTTCATGCTAGTAGTGTAGATGTAATGTAGTTGTAGTGTAGTGTTAAATGGGAGAACAATCTATGCTTGTTGTTTGATATTCCATACTTTTCAATGCAAGTAGCACATGTCTCTAACCTTGTGGTGTATTTGGATTGTGAGCTTAATGAAAGGATTAATGACTTGTTTTGATCTATTGTGCCTTTCACATGTTATTTAGACAATATATGCTTCATTGCTTGATATATTGTGCCTTTCACATGATGTTTAGACAATACTTGCTTAATTGGTCATCCTTGCTAATTGAACCAACCAATTTCACACACACACCAATATTGCAACACACCTTACCCTCATTAGTCACTTGTTAATGGTATAGAGATGCATTGCTTGGTGGTAATCTCTAAACCCCAAGACATCTCTCTTTCTTTTACTTACTCTTTATTGCATTCATACTTAATTTAATTTAGTTGCTCTCTAGTTTAAACAACCAACCAACCATTACTTGATCACTCGACCTACTAACCCTAATCTCGATTCCACAACACAATTCGACCTAGCACAATCCACAATCCCTTGGGACGATCCCTACTCGCACTAACTATATTTTTAGTGAAGGTAGTAGTGGCTTTATAAATGTAAAACTTGGCCCTCACCTTAATGCACACTCTTAAGTTTGATGGTAGTGCGACCATGACCAGTCAGTTTTTGGCACTGTTGCCGGGGATTGATTGATTTGATTTGGCAACGTCGAATTTGTGGAATTCAATTAGGATTAGTACTCTTTTGATCGTGTCTTTATTTTATTTTTATTTTTTCTTTTGATTACTCATTATGTTTGTTTTTGATTGACTAGGTGCATTGAGTTGAAGAGAAGCCAAGCAAAGGAACAATTAAGCAAAGGAGCTAAGCAAAACAAAGGAAAAAACTAAAAATTGAAAAACTGTTAAGCTAAGCTAAATTTGGAGTTGAAGTGCTAGGACCTTTATGAGACTTTCTCTACTCAAACTCCTTAGTTAAATCTCATGTATCGACAAAACTTCATCATCTACGTATATATCTTCTTCTTCATCATCAGGGTTGGCAGGAATATAGTCTTGCTTGAACCATTCGTCTACTTTGATCTCTGCCATTGTTATCCTTGTAATAGGGTTGGAATCAAGAATTCTCCTTATTAAGTTTTGTGCTTCTGGGATTAGCCATTTTGGTATCTGAACATCCCCTTGAAAATCTGAAATGCCTCAAGAGGGTTAGAGACGGAAAGTTCATGAAATTTCAAGTCATAAAAATGCGTTGTATATATAAGTAGAAAACACACGCACATATAAAGAGCTTTGTATGCGAATTTGTTTCTTTACTAATAAATTAAGAATGAACACTTGTAATTAATATTTGTACAAGTGGACTATTATTGGTTTTCCCAGGTTTAAACTCTAGTGCATCATATTTTGTAAAGAATTATATTTAATACTATAATTTTATTTAACTCTTTTTTTTTTTTTTTTTTTTTCTTATAGTAATGACATAATCACTTCAGATTTAAAATATATGTATGTATATAGCCCAAAATTCAATGGTGTGAAATATGAGACACAATAACAAAAAAATTGTTCTAAATTCATAAAATTATTTGTAGACAACCAAATAGTTTTTTGAATTTTTGTTTTTCAAAAACTGTTTTGTAATTTTACCTGTTCAGAATTTTAAGAGAAGAAAACCATGCAAGGCTTAATATTTCTGTGCCAATTTGTTTTTTTACTGAATAAATTAAGAATGAACCGGCGCTGTACGACAGAATAGTAAATCAAGAACAAAAAATTAACATCATATCACATGATAAAAACAAACAATTTATATATGTTATAAAAAATGTCGTTACATTTACAGTGCTATTACAATGGATGAAAAAAAAAAAAAACAATTCTAATCCAAATCATTCAGCTGTCGACATCTTGAAGCGACAAATCGGACAAAAGTTACCTATCTCCAGCCAATGATCAATGCAATCTTCATGGTATACATGATCAAAGATAAACCTCTAGATACAATTGACTGTTTGTACAGTATTTGATCTTTGTAATTCGAGAAAATTAGAGTGTCCCCTAAAATCCTGAATGCACCACCTCCACATTCTTGAGCCACTGTTCGCACCTCAAACTCTTTCGGCATAATATCGATAGGTTCATCCCCTGGTTTCTCTGGTTCTTTAACAAGAACCATTCGTCTGAACTTATCCAGAAAATGTCATATAAAGATTACGTTTTTAGGGCTTTTGGGAATTATGACTAAAATGATTGGTGCTGTCGGCATATACGTGTGTGTGTATACTAATATACATACCCTGATTCGGTGGGGCGAGATTCGAGCCAAACTAGGTGGCCATGGCCGTCGACGGCTGTGCCGCCGAGACGCTTCTCGCCGCCAGAGACAACATCGGCGGTGATAGGGGACTTCCAAGAACCATATGGTGCAGTGAGCTTCTCTGCGGTTCCTTCAATTGATGCTTTGACAGTTGAAGCCATTCTCTTGCAGCTTCGTTGTTGATGAGTCTGGCTCTTGGTGAGTAGTCTGGTAATTTGGTTGAACGAGGATGAGGAGGACAGAAGCCGCGCAGTTAGCATCACGCTGTGTATATTTTTGAAGAGGAATTGCTAATTTGGCTTCGGCAGCCTTCATACTCCTCCTCTGGTTTTTTCAAAAATATGATTTTTTGCTAAAAAGATAGTATTGTAATTTCAAAAAAATGATTTTTTAAATAAAAGAGAATATAATAAGAGTAATTTAGTCATTTCACGTACCCTTGACGTCCAATTGACAGAGTTGGGGTAAAATGATAACTTTATTTTATTATTGGGGGGTTTTCAAACTGATTGAGATTTTATGATCAATTTTTAATAGTATTGGGGGTTTACAAAAATTTGTCCTTAATACTATAATTTTATTTAACTTTTTTTTTTTTTTTTTTTTTTTTTTTTTTATCTTTTATTTTTTATTAGTAACGACATAATCACTTAAAATTTAAAATATATGTATATATATAGCATATAAACTAGGTGCAAAATTAAAAGGTGTGAAATATGAGACACAATAACAATTTTTTTCACTTAAGATTTAAAAAAAATGTCTTTATATAGCATATAAACTAGGTGCAAAATTCAATGGTGTGAAATATGAGACAATCAAATAAGTTTTTAAAAATTTTAACTGTTTTGTAATTTTACCTGTTCACGTTCTCTATTCTTGAAAACAATTTTAAGAAAGAAAACCAAGCAAGACTTAATATTTCTGTGCCAATTTGTTTCTTTACTGAATAAATTAAGAATGAACCATCGCTATATACAGAATAGTACATGAATTGAAGCTGTACGAAAGAATACTAAATCAAAGAACAAAAAATTAACAACATATTACATGAATTGATAAAAACAAAACGATTTATATATGTCATAAAAAATGTCATTACATTTACAGTGCCATTACAATGGATGAAAAAAAAAAAAAAAAATTCTAATTCAAATCATTCAGCTGTTGGCATCTTGAAGCGACAAATCGGACAAAAGTTACTGATCTCCAGCCAATGAATAATGCAATCTTCATGGTAGACATGATCACAGGGCATGCGAGTGACTTCAGAACCAACTCGAAACTTGACGAAACAAATTATACATTTATCAATGTAACCTCCTATCCATGGTACGGTCTTCAACCCATCATGGTCTTCGTCCACGTCCTCGTCCACCTCCCTATCCCACGGCCACGGCCACGGAAAATACGTAACCATCATGTCTATGAAAAAAAAAGGTGTGCTAGTGGTGCTAGAACAAGTGACTTGTTCTATGTCACCAGAGAGAATCCTACTAAATAAATCGTCAGTTGTGTCCGAGAGCTGGTCACGATTGCGGGTGATTACCTCCGTACTGGTGTGGGATCTAGAGAAGGGTTCGCTAGTAGTTATGGCTCGACAATCAGAGAGAATGCTATGAAATATATGGTCACGATCGAGGGTAATTCCGACAGTAGAGAGGAATTGAGAGAAGCATGAGTATGCTTCGTCATCAGACAACAACACAGTGGTCGAAATTGGGTGTTTTGTTTTACTCAATTCAACACTTTTTTCTGAGACTAAGGCATGGTTGAAATCTTTTCTGTCAACGTGTGCCATTAGGCCAAACGAATTAGCCGGTGGAGAATCAAGATTAAGATCAACTCTGCTGAACCACCAATATGTGTGTAGCCGATACATCATATCCAGTAAAAAATAGAGATGGATGGAGATGATGTAAGTAACCTTTGCACCTCCAATATCCTTCTCCTTCCCACGATGAGATCCGAATGAATGGAAAGGAAAATACTTCCACCCCAATTTCTGTGGATGGGAATAACAAAATAGCCCAATTTATGAGACTCCTTGTCAGAATGGGAAAAGAAAATTCCAAAATAAAGAAAATAAATACACCATATATAATAAAAATTGATGAGCTCGATCCACAATTTACGCTACCCAAAAATTGGAAATAAACGCCGAGGAGAAGAACGAATTAGGGAAGACAGATTTTGATAGCAATAATATATGACATATAAAATCTAGAGAGAGAGTAGCAACCTGTGTCTCGTTGCTTGTCGAAATACGACAGAGATGGAAGGAATTAGTGGAAGAGCTTCAGATCGAAGGAGTTGGCCAAGGGGAGGATCTACGGCGGCTGAGGACAATAGCCTCCTTGTGTTTACCCTTCCGAATGAAAAAGTGTATATTTTTAGGGTTAGATACTATATATATCTACCTGCGTCTCGCTTGTCGAAATACGACAGAGATGGAAGGAATTAGTGGAAGAGATCCAAGGAGTTGGCCAAGCGGAGGATCTAGGGCGGCTGAGAACAATAGCCTCCTTGTGTTTACCCTTCCGAATGAAAACGTGTATATTTTTAGGGTTAGATACTCGAGAGAGAGAGAGAGAGAGAGATAGGTAAATTGCAAAAAAAACCTTCAACTATGTTTAAATTTGTAAATAATCCTCTAAACTATGTTTTGTCCATAAAACCCCCTAAACTATCACATTTAGTTGTAAAATGTCCTCTTGTCTTTCCCATTTTTCATTAAATAACAATAATATCCTTTCGTATTAAATTATACGATATATTTTCCTTGTTAAAATAAAATATGAAAAAAAATTCATACTAATTTGATGAAATATTCTCCATTAAATATATTCATATACTATTATTAAACGTGCAAAGTGTTTCAGTATTTCAGTATCTATTTATTAATATAAAAAAATATTTATTCATTGATATAAAACTCTACAAATTAACTAATAAAATTCAAATCGCCTATTTATTTATTTGTTTCTAAAAAAAATTAATAAATTCATATTACAAATTACCTAATAAATATGTACTATTATTAAAAGAGTTTTTATAAATTTAAATTACAAATTCCCTAATAAATCTATACTATTATTAAAAGAGTTTCTATAAAACTGTGACACAAAATCTATATCTATATATATATTATTATTATAAAAGATAATGACATTCATCCGGCCCCGTCCCAGTTATGATTATGTTCTTATGAAGAGAGGACACATGTCACTAGCCTGTAAATACAGGCATTGGGGAAGGATGAAGGGTAAACAGCATCTCAAATTAGGTTGAGAGAAGCTCTCATAGAATAAGAAGTAGAGAGATTTAGACAGCATCTCAAAGTAAGTTGAGACAAGCTCTCATAGAACAAGAAGTGGAGAGATTTAGACAGCATCTCAAAGTAAGTTGAGAGATCAATCCATGTGTGTAATATTGACTTTAAATTGTTATCTTTTGTTTGTGTGGCTTAATTACGCAATTGTGAAAGGTCTAAACAGAAGTCTCCACACCATTGTAGATTTTGATTTACAGAGTTTTCGGAAAACATATCACTCATTTATTTTTTATTTATTTCTTAAATCTCATTTATTATTTTTTTTTATTTCTTAAATCTATTATAAATAATAGATGTGGATTACTCCTAAATATTTTTAAATTAACAAAAATTGCAATAAAAAAAGAAAAAAGACTTTGTAGGCAACAAGAAAAATTAAATAAGGATAGAGAATTGTACTCAATTTTTATAAATTAATAAAGTAATTATTATTTGCTTCATATAAGAATATCAATTTTTATAAATTAATAAATTAATTATTATTTGCTTCGTAAAAAAAAGTGTTAATGCATAATAAAATATTTAATAAATCAATTGGTGCACAAAATATTGAACTAAATCAATTGGTGCATAAATAATTAATTCACTACTTTAGATATTACATCACGCCTCTTAATAATATACATTACATTAAATATAATATATTACATTAAATATTAAAAAGAGTGCTATTGATAATTCAATTCAAATATGTTAACTTTGACACAAATCAATTACGAATTAAAATTAAATAGGTAAAATAAAATAATTTCTTTAAAACACTAACACTACCTTTTATTGTGAGTTTTTTAATAAAAGGAAATCTAATTAGATGATCGGTTGATCAACTATACATCAACCTTCGCAATAGCACGAATCATTGTAAAATAGGGCTATTGGTCGGGTAAGTCGAACCACTGGGACTGCGCTAGTCTATGGCAACCTAAGTGTCTAGAATTGTTCTTAGAATGATAAGGGGTTTATAGAGGTTTGTTGGATGTCACTTAAGCTAGGAAATTAAAAATGCATAAAATAATAAATTGCAAGAATTCAAGGGAGTGAAGTACAAGTAAAGAAGGCTAGGGAAATGAATCCACCTCCATCCCTATACACATGCTAGGTTAAGAATAATTTAAGGGAAAAACAACATATATGATAGTCATGATACATAACAATACTAGGTTGCTATAATATCCTCAAGAAGTTCATTTAAATAGGAAGGCAAGAATAAACCATCAAAGGTTCACATGATCAACTACCTAAACTAAAATGTAGCTTAGAACATGCTTACTAAGTCAAGGATTATCAAGCCCTAATTTAAATGGTGAATGCACATAAAGCAAAGAATCAAGTATAGACCATCAAAGGGAAACCCTAAGCCATGAACTATCTAGGTTCTCCAACTCCATGCCATTGAAACCATTCCATGATCTAACTTCCATTGTCACCATGGAAGTGCAAGCAATATGATTACGAAAAGTAACCATCCAAGACAAGATGAATAACTCACAATAATCATTTATAAACATTCAACATTCATTACAACAAAAATGAGACTCTTGACCATGGAAAGACTATCAAAAATACATTGTAATCCCCAAAAATAAACTATACTAACACATGCTTACAAGGGAGGGGCTTCATCACCTCCCTAGAAGAGGAGTTAGTTACCCATTGGAGCCTTAGAATGAAGAAGAAGCTTGAACTCCATCTCCAATTTTTGAGCTCCCCTTTGTTAGCTTCAAGAACACCTTCCTTTCTTGCTCTCTTCTCCCTCCTCTATCTTGCAAAAATCAAAGATAAATAATGTGTGGCCCTTGGGTAGCTTTTTATTCTCCAACACACCCTCTCTCTCCTCCAAGGAACACCTCCAACCACTTCATAAAGAAGGAAGATGGCATTGAGGAAACCAATGTGCAAGTGGCTGAAATTGAGCCATTTCTGAGTGCAATCTGCCTGATTTTCGAGCACTCGAAAAGTGATCTCGAGCACTCTAACTTAGTGCAATGTGCAACATGTTCCTCTTGCTCAGCGCTGACCTATTTTGGGAAAACTGCTATAACTTTGTGCCCCGAACTCCGAATGATGATCTGTTTGAAGATTTGGAGAGCTGATTCAGTGTTTTAAAAACTTTATGTTTTGATGAAGACCCAATTCTCAAGTTTGGTTGGTCGAAAATGGGGAGAAAGGCAGTACTTCAGTGCTGCCAGGCAGTTCTGCGCA